GAGTCTGGGCTGTGTAAGAAAGGAAGCTGAGCAAGGCAGTAAGCAGTGTTCCTCATTGCCTCTGTTTTAGATTCTCCTTCAGGTTCCTGTCTTGGTTTCCTTCAGTGATGAACTCTAAACTATAAGATGAAGTAAGTCCCTTTCCTCCCTAGCTTGTTCTTAGTCAGTGTTTAATCACAGAAGAAACTAAATTAGGAGAGCTGGCAAAATAAAGGCTTTTAGGAGAAATCTAGAGCTTACCATGAAGATTTAAGTGTAGACTAAAACCCAACTGTCATCGATTCTGTCCTTGAACACCGTCCCAATTTAGATATGTGACACCAAAGACCCCTTTTCCGTAACAAGCACCAGAGAACAGAGACCACAGTAGTGAAAGCCAGGCAGTTTATTTTTCCCACTTTGCAAGCCCAGGCATCTGCTGAAAATGGCAAGTACACTGTTTTGAGTCCAGACAACAGCTTTAAACCCGAAGGAGTCACGGCACCCCTTTCTTCTTTCACTGACCAATCAGGAGGAATGTCTTAGTCATTTAGATTGTAGCATTCCCTCTGCCAATTATGTTTGTCTTTCCCTTGACAAAACCATGTGAGAGTTAATCCACGTTTTACGTTTTGTTTGCTGTAAAGCTTGTAGGCTAATACATTACCTTGTAGGCAAGTTTCCTACTAGTTACTTTCTACTTTAAACCTTTAGTTTGGGGCAGGGGCTGGGATGAGAGGGGTGGGGGTGGGGAGAAGGATTTGCGTGGGGGGCTACTAACATAGCAGGCTGCCTGCCCTAGAGTCCCAGTGTTTCCTGTTTATTTATATTTGGATGTCGGCTCACTCAAGCTGTTTTTGTTTTTGAAAATGAACTAACAGATTTTATTTCTTAGGACAAGTGTGACCCTTGCTTCCCAAGTGTGAAAGGAGAGCACCAAACATGGCAGGTGAATGTATCAGACCTACTCAGTTGGATTTTACCAAGTCAGATCCAAGGCTGTAGCAGCTAATTCTCATTTCGGGTTTTCTATTGCTATTCACTGTCAGTGCTTGCTAATGACTACACTTGGCGAGAAAAGTACAAAATCGGCAGAGAGAAGAAAAGCCTATAATGGGGGGAGGGGAGGCCAGCTGTTGCCCAAAGGAGAGGCCACCACCTTTCAAAGGAAACGGAAACCTAACCCAACCGAAGCAAAGCAACACAAACCAACGAAGTTCCTAGATTCTGAGGTCTCCTTTCTGCCCGCAGACTGAGTTCCCAGAATTCCAGAAGGAGTCTTAGGTGTTGTCAGAGAGCCTAAGCTACCATGGGGGCTGGGTGACAGAGGACTTCCTCACAGAGGCTAGCAAGACAGTAGCCCTCCTGCAGCCTGCTGCTCGCCCACTCGCCCCTCCTGCGGAGGAAGTGGCAGTGGTAGAAGTGACCACAGGTGCAGCGGGGCGAGCGGCCAAGGAGGACAGGCATCTGGGTGTGAAACCCTTCGGCTGGTGGGATGACCCAGTGACCCAAGGACCAGGAAGAAGCCGCGATGGGGGAGAGCCAGGGCAGGGAAAATGAGGACAAAGGGTAGGATGGCAGTGGAGGAAGCTAGGGAGAAAGATGCTGCCCGCACTCAGGGCCCTAGGATTGTTAGCAAGTAACCTCTCAAATACTTAGTTCAAGAGTCTGTCCTTGAGTCTTTCTTTGCCCGGATGTCCGGATCTGGCTCAGGAAGGATGATCCAGGAGACCTGGAGTGGGGAGGCCTCACAGTTGACTCCTACCCGGAATCAGGAACAGAGTTTTACCTTTGAGGACTCAACAGCATTCTTTCAGTCAAGTTTCTGGTTAGGATGGGCTTTAATATTTAGTAGTGGGAAACAGAACAGTAGTTATCTTGGTTTTCTAGGTTTGCTAGGTTGGGGCAATGGGTACTTGGATGCCCAGTTTATGTTGCTTCTGTGGTTACTACAACACTGTGAGAAATGGGGAGCTGGGCTTTCAGATGCTGTGTCTCACCTTGGATACCCTTCTTTTTTTTTTCTGACTCTGGGGACCAGGTGCTTGTTTAGTTCCCACAAAAGGGACACAACTTCGGCAAAACAGCTTCGGCAAGGTACAGCTCTTTCCAGGCACTGAGAAAGACCATGAAGGGTACCAGTTTTTAATTAGTTTCAGCTCATGCTCCTGAGTATTCTGGTGGAAGTTCCACCTCAGTGCCCCTCCCCCATCTCTCTCTCCCTAAAGCCTGCACCATCCCAGAAAGTCTGCCATCTCCCCCAGAGATGCTCAAGACCACTCCCAGAGGGATTTAAATTGCCCCCCCCCGGAAAATTATTACCTTTCTCTGTCTCTCTTTCCGGTCTCCTCTCTGGGGGGCCAGAAATCATCCAGGAACGGATTACCCATTAAACCTGGGCCTTTTCTAATTCGGTCTGATATGGTCTGATATGGATTGCTGCATTGGTGGAGAGGCTTATCAGGGTGCAGAAACTTTTCACTGGGGTCTTGCTGCCTCTGTAGACATCAGTGTGGGATAGACAAAAGTCCCATATGCTTTTTAACCAGAAGTAGCAATTGGGTAAGATTTTTCCCTTAAACATACACTTTTCTAGAGAAACTAGTTCTTTGCAGCTTGGTTGATCAGGTACCTGACAAAATGACTCAAGAAAGCAGGATCTCTGTATTCAGACTTTTATAAAGGACATTCGTTGATGTGAGCTCAATCTTCTGGGCCCAAAAGATGAATTCCTACTTCGGTGCTTCTTGTGCAGCCCTTGGTTCTCCGGGCCATGCGGTGCTGTGAGAATCCCTGTCCCTGTGTTAGAGAAGAGGACACAGGCTTTCACAGATCAAGAAAACCACCAAGAGGTCGGGAGGTCTGGTGCTTGGTGCTTCTTCTCGTCCAGCTTTTCCTGAGTCTGGTGCCTGGGTACAGCATAGGTCCTCTACTGAAGTGTGGGTATTCTGCACCCCAGTCATGCATGTTCCCACACCGTTCCACATTTGTACGTTATGTCACGCCCCTAAGAATTTCTTGCAGAAGGAAGAGTAAGTCTGAGATATATTCTGATAAACTTTGAGGAGAGATAGCAGACTTCGTTCATTATTATGGCATATTATGACAGAAGATCCTTCTGAAGTTCAGGAATCAAAAAGAGACAATCTCAGACAATGCTGGTCACTAAAATCAGCCCAGCGTGGTTTAGGGCCAAGAGGACATTGGAAAACTAGGAATAAGGTTTACTGTGCTTGGTGTGCAAGAAATATTTCAGTATTTCCGCTGTTAAAGTCATAAACCCTGGCACTGAGGAGATGACTCAGGGGCCTTGAGTGATTCCCACATAAGCATTTGGACCTGAGCTCAAATCTGTAGCATCTATGTAAAAGGAAGGCATGGCTGTGTGTGCCTTTAATCTCTGTTAAAGTGTGGAGACAGGCAGATCTAAGGAGCTCTCTTCCCATCCAGCCCAGCTGAAATAACAAGCTTAAGTTTCAGTGAGAGGCCCTATTTCAAGAGAACAGCGTGGAGAGTTATTGATAGAGGCAGATCCCTGACACCCTCCTCTGGCTCCTTGTGTTCACATTTATGCATGTATTAACCCTATAAATAAATGACATAAATGGCTTAAAAAACAAAAGGACATAAATGCTCTCTCTCCTCCCCCTCCCTCCAAGAGTATCTAGCTCTGCAGGTCAGATGGACCTCAAATTTATGATCCTGTTTCAGTCTTCTAAGAACTGGGATTATAAGCCAGTACTAACACACAAAATAGTTGGCAATACTCCTGACATCACTGGTTTCTGTATTTCTGTGTGTGTGTGTATAGAGCATTTTCCCTCATTTATTAAAAAATACAGGGATGAACAGGCTAATTTTAATAGATATGGCTAAATGGGAAGTAGAAATGAAAACACATTTAAGGCTTTAGAACACACATATAAGATCAAGAAAATGTCATTAATTGTTTTGAGGGAAACACTCTGTGTATAAGTATTACTTATATGTGGCCAAATAATGGAATTGATTACAGACGTATCCTTTAAAAATAAATATAGATAAATACTTTAATACATATACTTTGAAATATATATATATATATATAATTAGATTCTTGAGACTGGGTTTCTCTGTGTAACTGCCAGGACTGCCCCGGATCTTGTAGACCAGGCTGGCCTTGAACTCATGGAGATCTGCCTGCCTATGCCTCTAGATAGCTGGGATTGATGGTGTGCGTTGCCACCTCCTGGTCACAGATGTATCTTTAAAGAGAGGAATTAGTATATGTTTCTTTTTTTTCAGTATATGTTTCTTGAATACCCAGAAACACTTCAGGGTACACTGTGTGGGAATAAGGTTTTCCTCTGGGCTGAATTGCTCAGCAGTATATAGCAGGAGGGGAGAGGGAGGTGAGAACTGAGTGACACTGAGAAGAGGCATTTAAGGTAGGAGAATAATTCTGAAATACTAAGCTTTGTGTAGAACATAGACCCACTTCATTTCTCCCACTGGATGGGGATTTGGTTTATAGGTGAAAATTCATGTGAGGGGATTCCATGAAGGGAAGTTGAAGAAGTCTGAGGTTTGGAACATGAAGAAGTGCTTATGCCCCATCAAATGGAGAAAGAATTAGTGCAGACTTAGGTGACTAACATATGCTGATTGAAAGTTTACCAGATGTCTTTTCATCAGGAATCCTCAGGAACCTATGAGGTCAAAAATTAGTATTCTCCTATTTAAGAGTAGGTGGAATGGGAAGAAATCAGAATGAATGTTTAACCCAGTGGGTCTCCCTAGTGCTTACATTAAAGGTGTGTGATCCAAGTGCTTGGATCAAAGGCATGAACTCTGTTACTTTTAACTCTTGTGTAGGCCAGGGTGACCTTGAACTCAGAGAGATTCATCTGTCTTCTGAGTCCTGGGATTAAAAGTGCATACCACCAACCAATGCCTAGCTTCTAGAGCTAACTAATGTGTCTGGCTTTGCTTTTTGATACCTCAGACAATCTTTATTAAATCATAAATAATGTATCACCACAGAAAGTTGAGAAATTTATTGATAATGTCCAAAGGGTGAGAGGCATTCTTATTTCTGATGACAATCTCTAAAAAAAAAAAAAAGAGTAGAACCACATAAAATATCTATGTAGAGGCATTTCCACGGGTGATTTAAGTGTGGATTTCCCTGGTTACCTGTATCTGACTGCACCAAAGGTTCTGTATCACTCCACTTGCTCAGCATCCTGATATCTCAGGAATTGCCTGAGGATGGCTGTCTCTTTCTTCATCCATCCCAGGAATATCCTACAAACTCCTCTGGAGAACCAGATTCATGGTTCCTTACTGCCACCAGTGGTCTAAAGGAGCCATCAAGAAGTAAACAAGGGGTTGTCACAGCTGTTGACATAGGACGGGATAACTATAGCTGAATAATGACAAAAGTGATGAAGAGAAATTATGTCAGCATAATAGGAACCAGTAAGGAGTCAGAAATAAAGACATTTACCACACAGCTGTGATAAAATCAATCTAACTCTTTAATAACAACCCCCAAATATTAGTGCATCACCACTGTATCATTGACAACATGGACAGGACCCAGATCAGGACATACGAAACTGTTGGTATGTTTTAGTGGCAGTGGTATCATATGGGCCGTAAGACCGTGTGGTGTATGGTGCTAATAGCACTGAATATCCTCAGTCCTGTGGTATAAGGAATCACTGTTATATTGTTGAAGATGGCAGATGTAAAAATAGAAGTGTTGGAAGAACATGAAAACATTTATCAGAAGAAGCAATAACAGGGCAGCAGAATATGAGGTTAGCCACAGCCAGGTTGAAGATGTAAAGCAAGAAGTCATTCCCACATATATGGAAGCCAAGGGGCCAGAGAAAATTTGTTTCCTGCTGGCTCAACCAGGGAAGTAATGATGATCAGGAAGTATAGAATCTACCGATTGACACAGATTTGATAGGAGGACCTGAAACTTGCATTCATTGTTGTTGATCTTGAGCCAGAATTTTTATTTTAGGTGCCCGTGAAGATCATGAGACCTCTTTCTTGGACAATTTGTAGGAGGTAGGACCTGATGAGTTAGAAATGACTGAATTCTTCCCTTGTTGGCAGGGAAATTTAATGTCTCTGCTCTCTCCCGGAACTTAGTTCTCTTGTGGCACACTGGATTCTTAATATTTATTACATGAAAGATGAATAAGGAGTTTATGTTAGTGGATGATTAAGGTAAATAGAAAAAAGTAAGCAAATACACAAAAACTTAATTATAAAACACGATAGATTTCATTAATCCTGTTTAGCTTTGTGGACATCCCTGTGTATATTTAGAGTTACTTATACATGCCCAAATTACCAAAGTGACTGGAAAGTGCCTTTGAAATGAGGGTACGATATGACTTTGGTCAGCATCTAGAGGCATTTTGGTCTACTGTTTTGGTGTAGGATTTGCATTTGAACTAAGCTGGAGAGTACAGGAAAGAAGTAGTGTGTTAGAGTATGTTTGGAGTGTCACTGAGGGAAGATTTTGAAATACAGAAAAAAAGGAGAGGTAGGTGTTTTAAAGTATATGACACAAGTAAACTTACTCCAACATCTCTCCAAATAGTTTACTTTCTAGGAGAAAGCTTTGTGTGAGAGGAGTCATTGAAGGGAATTAGAGCTTTGGGGCTCCCAATAAAAAGAGAGATCCTCACACTGATCTGAACTAAAGAAGGAGAAAGCTCATGGTGAAAACCAGACATTGATTCAGAGGTTAAAAGGCATTGTTTTCAATCCTCAAAGATCTCATCAATTACTACAATCTCAGAGAGGCTATGTAACAAAGAGGGCGGGAGGAGGGGGCATGCATGAATCTCCCCAGGAAGAGGAAATAGAAGAGGTCTCCTGGGTGGACTGTTTGCAGGTAGGGTTGGAACTTGAGAGATCTGGTTGGGGATGTTTGGGTGGAGGGGGAGAGTACTAAAAGAGAGTATTTGAAAGTGTGGGGGAGGGAGGTTCAGGGACAGGCAGGAACCCGATACAAGGGAAACTCCCACAAATCTACAAGGATGACCCCAGCTAAGACTCCCAGCAACAGTGGATATGTAGCCTGAACTTGCCAGTTCCTGTGATCATTTTGGTGACTATCATGATTATTACCAGAAAGCCTTCATCCAGTGACTGATGGAAACAGATGCAGAGACCCACAGCCAAACTTTAGGCTGAGCTTGGGGAAAACTGTTGAAGAGAGGGAAGAAGGATTATAAGAGCCAGAGGGGTCAAGGACATTACAAGAAAATTCACAGAAACAACTTGGCTCATAGGAACTCACAGAATCTGAACCAACAACAGGGGCCTACATAGGATTGACCTAAGCCCTCTGGATGTATTTGTGAGAGTTGTGTAGCTTGGTCTATTTGTGCGGCTCCTAACTCTTTGGCTGGCTCTTTGGAACCAATTCCTCACACTGGGTTGCCTTGCTCAACCTGAATACAATGGGAGGTACTTAGTCTTACCACAGTTTGATATGCCAGGATTTTTTGAGACTCATGGGAGACATGCCCCTTTCTGAACAGAAAGAGAGGAGGAGTGAATTGAGAGCAGTGCAGGGGGAGGCAGCAGAGGTACCGTGAGTAGAGGGAGTGGAAACTTTTGTCAGGATATACAATAATAAATGAATAGAACTCATGAAGTAACAGCTGTTTAATTTTTACAAAGGATTGGGGTGGATCCCGTAAGAAATGCATTATTTGTGTCAGTCTAACACTAAGTGTTAATGAATACAAAAAGTGTTAATATTTGGCATATCAGGGAAAACAGAAATCAACAGCATGAGAAACTTTGGAAAACATGTGAACAAGTAGCAATTGAGGAAACAGGTAAATATAATATTGACTTCATAGTCAGAGGTGAGATTTAAAAGATCCCTGAATAAAAAGTTAGAAATATATGGATTGGCAAAATAGTTTAGAGAGTAAAGACATTTGCCCCTAAGCCTAACAGCTTGAGTTTGATCCCCAGGGCAGAACAGATTCCTACAAGGTGCCTTTTTATACACCTCTCTAAATGTTATGGCACATACACAAAAGAAATAAAAATGTAAGCAAAGGAATTACACAAAAATATGCTGGATACAGCAAAAGCCAATATTAAGGGTTTTGGCAATGAATGTACACATCAGAGCAATAGGTATAAAATATGATGCAGCTGGATGGTGGTATTGCATGCCTTTAATCCAAGTACTCAGGAGGCAGCGGCAGGTAGATCTCTGAGTTCAAGACCAGCCTGGTCTAAAGAATGAGTTCCAGGACAGCTAGAAATACAGAGAAACCCTGTTTTATAAAACAAGCAAACAAACAAAAACAAACAAACAGACAGAAACCCATCAGAATGTGCTTTCATATAAAAAGAAATAGAGATTGGAGCAGAAATACATCAAACAGAGAGTAAAAGAGCAACACAGATGACCAATGAAGTAGAGACACTTCTTAAAAAACATAAACAATATAGATAGATAAACCTTTAGTTAAACTAACCATGCAAACCAAAAAACAGAAGCAAAAGGACAAGGCCAAAAATATAAAATTAGAGATGAAAGGGAAACCAAAGGATTGTTAAGGAATATTTTGAAAAAACAATATGCTACTGAATTAAATAAAACTAAGAAAAATGAACAGATTTCCAGATACATGTTATTTATCAAAATTCAAACAATATGTGAAAACCCTAAGTAGGTGAATTACATGTGATAAGAATGTGTGGGTAATAGAAAGTTGACTAATATGTGAAGTTGGGAAGGAGATAGGAGATGTTTTGGGAAGTGGGTGTTAAGCTGAGGGAACTTGAGAGAATTGTGATTAAGATACATTGTACTCATGTCTTAAATTTAAAAAAAAATCACTTCCTCATGGTTGGATAGCTTTACTCCTGAATTTCACAAAACTCTTAAAGAAGAGCAAACACCAATGCCTCTGAACTATACATAACATGCAATAAAATGGTCCTCCTCTAAACAGTTTCTATGAGGCTCCCATAACCTGACTACCCAAACCTGAGGGGGACACAATAGCAAACTTGAAGACTATTGGCTAATATTCACAATGAACACAGACACAAAAGTGCTCAGAAAATACCTGTGAACAAATTAAACAAACATCACCTTATAAAGAGCATGAGTCACAAGAATGTTTGTGTCATTCCAGGAATGTAAAGATTAATTAACACTGAGAAAGAAATTTATATAATACAGCACATAAACACAATCAACAATTTAAAAAATCAAATGATTATCTAAAATACACAAAAAGATGTATTAAGATCAGACACAACTTCATGACAAAAGGTCTTAATAAATTAGGCAGAGAAGCAAGTGTCACAGAAGGAAACTGATAAAATCGCCATTATTTTCAAGAGAAACATGCAGGTGTCTTCGCTCTTCTTCTTCTTCTTCTTCTTCTTCTTCTTCTTCTTCTTCTTCTTCTTCTTCTTCTTCTTCTTCTTCTTCTACTCCTCCTCCTCCTCCTCCTCCTCCTCCTCCTCGTTCTCCTCCTCCTCCTCCTTCTCCTAATTCTTTCTTTCTTTCTTTCAACAGGGTTTCTCTGTAGCTTTTAAACCAGTCCTGGTACTTGCTCTGTAAATCAGCCTGGCCTCGAACTCACAGAGATCCACATGCTTCTGCTTTCCAAGTGCGGGACTCTATATATTAACATATTGCAGGCACATCTATGTGAAGGTGTTGGGTCCTCTGGAACTGGAGTTACAGGCAGTTGTGAGCTGCCATGCGGGTGCTGGTAATCAATCCCAGGTCCTATGGAAGGGCAATCAGTGCTCTTAAGCACTGAGCCATCTCTCCAGCCCTGTGTCTTTACTCTTATGAGGCTTACTTAAGGCAGACTTGAAACATTAGTCAGAGTAATTAGACATGAGAAAAACAAGGGATAAAAATAGGAAAGGAAGAAATCAAATTATACCTACTTGAGAATATGATTCTATACATAAAGTCTACAGATTCTACCAAAAGATTATTTAGAATTGATAATTTCAACAAGGAAGCAGAATGCAAAATTAACACACAAACATTAATAGTTTTTTCTATATTTCAATAATTAGCTTACTGGAGAAAGTAACCAAAGAAAGAACCTCATTCACAATACCTACAAGAATTTTCATTATTAAATGTAAACTAAGACCCCTGTAATGAAAATTATAAAATACTAAAGAAAGAGATTGCATAAGGCAGTATAAGTTGGAAAGGCTTACCTTGTTAAAGGTTTGGGTAAATGAACATTGTTAAAATGTCTGTACTACTTCAAATAGTCTACATATTTAACTCAGCATCCATTAAAATTTCAATAATATAGTTCATAGCACTATAAAAAATTTCAAAAGTCATGCAGAGGCTAAAAGGACCCCAATTGCCAAAGAAATCTTGAGAAATCATGTGAGGCTGAAATTATCACAATGTCTGATTTCAAAATGCATGGCAGAGCCTCTGTAATAACACAGCATGGTACTGACAAAGAGAGGTCAAGGGAACAGAATATAGCAAAACTGCACACATCTTCAGCTAAGTGAGTTTGAACAAAGGTTCTCAAAAACCTTTAAAAATCATCATCTTCAACAAATTGTTCTGGGAAATTTCTGGATATGCATGCATACAAGACTAACATTTGGCCTCTTTATGTCATCCTGAATAAAACTCAACTCAAAATTATCTGAGAGCAAAACCCAAAACTCTGAAATTACTGTATAGGGAGCAAAGGAAACATGCTTCATGTGCACAACAATTAATTTCCTGTTTATATTCCGAAGCACAGAAATAATGGCAAGAGTTGATAAATGAGTTACATCAGTTGAAAAGAAGCAATCAACAGAATGGGAGAAAATCTTTAATAGTCATTCAGTTACAGCTCATTAACCAACATAGAGTTCCCTAAAATTCTAAATATAGAATTACTGTAAGATGTAACTAACATTTTCTTAGACATTTATCTGTGCATAAAAATTAAGCAAAAGAAAAAATAATTTTTTCTACAGGTTTCATGAAGGGAAAACCTGCCAAAGCAGGTTTGACTTACATACTAATCCCTGGGCTAAGTTGATGATGTCACTTCAGGCACTTCGAGTTGTTATTCCACAGCTACAGGAGTCCCTTCACAAATTCATCTATGTCACTTGCAAACCGAAGTGGGGTTGCATACAGGATGGAGAATCCACAATGGGCTGAGCTGGGGAGAGACTTGGATCTGGAGTCACGAAACCCTGGTTGTGTTTGATGGAGCTCAGAATTTAGGAGAAAGGATTCAGGTAGTGACGTTAGCATCATGTCATTGAATCTGAATGTGGCAAGAAGACAAGCAGGCAGCAAGGGTGTGGCGACCAGTGAGACACGCTGAATGAAGTGTGGATGATGTGGCTAAGTTATTGGAGCCAGGGGAGCTGGGAAAGCAACTCTACAGAGTGAGCTGGTCAGGCTGCTGATCTGGAAGCTAAGATTCTTGGGGTCAGACCAAGGTGTCTTAGGCCCAGTAGAATTTAGGTTGTCTTAATTTCAAAGAATATCTTTTTTTAAACAGTTCTCACCAGCCAAATAATTAAAGTCGGTGAAATAATCAGTCAGATTTAAGTCACAGTCCCCTCCATTATCAAGTCATTTAGTCTTGTGGAAGAAACACGGAAACACAGACCAGGGGCTTTTGTTTGGCTTTGTTTCTACATTAGGAACCTCCTGAGACCCTGGAATTTTTTTTCCTTTGAACACTTTTATTGAAAACTACAACAAAGGTATCCAGAAAGCATCCTAGGTGCACAAACTCCACTTTTTAAATTTTTTTTCATTTTACACAACAACCCCAGTTCCCCCTCTTTCCCCTTCTCCTGCCCCTCCAACCCCCACCTGCTTCTCCTTCCCACCTCCCATTCACTCCTCAAAGGAAGTAAGGCCACCTTGGAGAGTCAACAAAGTCTGGCATACAAAATTGAGCAGGCAAACTCCACTTTAATCTGAGAAGCCTGATAGTTTTCTGATAACATCTTAACCAGTCTCTCTAGACCCTGTCATTTTGAAACCCTGATATTCTTCTGTAGGGCTCCTTTGGATGCCTAATATGTGACTTAAAGAGGGATTTATTTTTTTAAAAAGTTAATTTTTTTATTCTTCAGGAATTTCATACTGTGTACACCATATATTTTCATCATATTTGCATTCAACTACTCCTGGGTCCTTCTTGCCCCACTCCTAACTTAGTATTCTCCTGTAAAAATAATTAGCGATTTCCCTATGTGCATGAGTTTGGGATTATCCAGGGGGGCATTGTCAGCTTACCAAAGGTTACACTCTTAAAGAAAACGAACTCTCCAAGCATCTAACAATAGTCAATAGTTTTGCAAATAAGTGTGAAAATCATGAACTCCTCCCTCATCCACACTGAAATGTTGACCGGTTTGATCTTATGCAATTCTTGTATAGGCTAAAGAGGGATTTCTATTCACTCTTCTCACTAGATGGCATGTACCAATTATTTGCCACATTTGAGAACTTTCCTCTGAGAACAGTTACTTTGTTTAAGAAAGGTCTAGTGGGGCTGGAGAAATGGCTCGGCGGTTAAAGGCTAGGCTCACAACCAAAAATATAAGAAAGGTCTAGTGACAAGACTTAAACATCTCTGATGACTGATTAATACATATATATATATTACATATATTATATATGTGTGTATGTATATTATTGAGAACTCTATACCTGTGGATAATGTTTGTGATTAAATCTACCTCCCTCATTCCCTTCTAATTCCTCACCTATCCCCACATCACCTTTCCCCCTAACTTCATGTGTTCTTAAAAAAAACTGGATCCACCTAGTGATGACTATATGTGCATGGGTATTGGATAATATATTGGAAAATGGGTAGCATTTCAGGGGATGTATCTCTGAGGAAAACAGGCTCTTTCTCTCCCTGAAGCCATCAATTACCCATATCAAGAGTCTGACAACATATGAGTCCCTAGCCCACCCTGGATGGTATTTTGGTTGACTTCATTTTACACAGGTCTGGAGCATACAGTCACAGCCACTGTGAGTTCATGTGTAAAATGGTCCTGTCATGTCCAACAAATACTGTTATGCTGTAGGCTTCCATTAGCTCTGTCTCTTAAAATTTTCTGTTCCCTGTTCTTTGATGATTCCTGAATCTCAAGGAGCTGTGATGGAGATATTCCATTTAGAACTAAGCACATTGCACTATTTTATTTTTTATATGTTTATTGGTTGTGACTCTTTGTATTAATT